TCCTCCTCTCCTCCTCCTCCTCCTCCTCCTCTCTCTCTCTCTCTCTCTCTCTCTCTCTCTCTCTCTCTCTCTCTCTCTCTCTCTCTCTCTCTCCTCTCCTTCTCTCTCTCTCTCTCTCTCTCTCTCTCTCTCCCCTTCCTTTCTCCCTCCTCTCTTTCTCTGATAAAAATATCGAACGAAATCGACGTTTCATCTTTCTGGATCATTGGTATCCTTGATCAACCCCGACGCTGGTCCGACCCTCTCTTCTTCTCGGGATCATAACATTGGCGATATAATATGGGCAATTATCCGGGATTAGGGGCTGAAGGATACCGGTGGAATCGGTTTCTATATATAGCCGAATAAGCCGCGCGTGTAACGTGGAGCATGGTGTCTGAACAAACGTCGGGTTGTTTCACTGAAAGATCCACGAGCGTCTACACGTAAGAAAATTTCGAGTCGAACTCGATGGCGCATCCGGTCTTTCGCTTCTTTTTCCCTTTTTCCTCCGCGACTCCAATATCCGTACTTTTACGGAAAACAATGCCGCTCTCTTTCTCTTCCTTTTCTTCCAGATTAATTCAATTTTTGATTTTTTTCTTATCCGGATCAAGGAGGAAATCCTTTAAAGTCTTCCGTACCAGAGACTTGCGATCGAAAGATAAATGCTTTTAGGTTATTACCGGGACCCTCTCGCTGTCAGACAGGCGAAAGGAAAGCGTCCCTGATCCCTCCCGAGCCCGAGTGACACGAAATATCCCTTTTATAAAATTGCGCGGGTTATCAAATCTCATCCCCCAAGTATCACGTCTCTCGGCGAGCAGTCTTTCCTCGAGGGAGCGGAAGTAGATATGTTCGAGTTGTCCTCTTCTTTTTCTTCTTCTTTTGCATCATCAGTCCTTTCTCTTCCAATTTCTTCCAATTTCTCCCAATTTCTCCCAATTTCTTCCGATCACCTTTCTCGTCGTATACAGACTTTCTCGCGCGTCGTGATCGCAAGTCCTGCGGTTCGCTCTGATATCTCGTGACACATCGGGGATTGCGTAGGAGGTAATAAATTATTATCGAACCCGTGGTTTGGGGCTTCCGCCTCTCTTATCTCATTGGATTGGAAGCTTCTCGTGCGATTTTCGCAATTTTCCTTTGCTTCACTTCTGGCATTTGAGTCGATCCGTTGGAGAAAAATATATCACTTCTTTTTTTTAGAGATCGAGAAACACGCGTGAAGCGAGATATATCGCTTTCGGCAGTTTGCGGCTGCCGTTTCGAGCACGACGACAGGCTCGTGCCTCA